TGATTCTGTGCCTCCCTCTCTCTCTGCCCCTCCCCCGTTCATGCTCTGTCTCTCTCTGTCTCAAAAATAAATAAAACATTAAAAAAAAGAGTACTCCCCACTTTATATCTCTTTACCCTTTCTGATTTGTAATACAATTTCCTCAAATATTCCACCTACATCCTTTGAGAACTACATGAGATGATGTTGTCATTTCTGCTTCAACCGTCCGTCAAACATAATTTAGAAAAGTTAAGAGGAAAAGGAAAGCCCCTCTTTCCTGACTTTTTTTTATTATGTTATTCCTTCCCTCGTGACATTCCCAGATGCCTTCTTTTATGGTTCTCTTTCTTTTTATGGAACTACATTTAGCCATTCTGGTAAAGTAGGTCCTCTGGTGACCAGTTCTGTCAGTTTTCCCTCATCTGAGAAGGTCTTGATTCCCCTTCATTGCTACAGGATATTTTCTCAGAATATAAAATTCAGTGGTTTCAGGTCTTTTTTTCTCAGCACCTGAAAAATACCTCGCTGCTTCCTTATGACCTCCATGATTTCCGATGAGAAAGCCAGTGTTTTGGATTGTTTTCCCTACAGGTAACACCTCATTTGTCTCTGAATTCTTTCAAGATTGCTTTGTCTTGAGTTTCGGAAATTGTGGCACAGATTTCTTTGGGTTTATCCTGTTGGAGATTTGCCCAGCTTCTTGATATGTAGGTTTATGTCTTTTGCTAACGTTGGGAAATTTTCGGCTATTTTTTTTTTCCAAATATTTTTCCAGCTCCACCCCCCTTCTCCTCTCCTTCTCGGGCTCCGATACCCCAAATTCTAGGTTTTTTGGTTGTTGTTGTTTTGTTTCGCTTTTTGTTTTGTTATAGTCCTGGGGCTCTGTTCAGTTTTTACCGGATTCCTCGGGATTTTCTGTATGTAAGATCACGTCCTTTGCAAATAAAATGGTTTTACCTCTTTCCTTCCAGTATGGATACCTTTTATTTCTCGTCCGTGTCTCATTGTCCTGACTGGAAGCTCCAGTACAGTATTGAATAGCAGTGGTAAGAACATTCTTGTCTCGTTCTTGATTTTAGGAGGAAAGCACTCAATCTTTCACCATTAAGTGTGTTAGTTGTGGGCTCTTCATAGATGCCCTTTACCAGGTTGAGAAAGTTCCCTTCTATCCTTAGTTTGTTGAGTGTTTTTGTCATGCAGGGGTGTTGAATTCCTTCAGCCACTTTTTCTGCATTTGCTGAGATGATCACGCGGATTTTGTTCTTTATCAGTTTATTTTGTCCTCTGTGGTTCAGAGTCTTAATTTCTATTGTTTTACCTTTAGGGTTATTGATTCTTTTCTCTGTCCTCTCCATTCTGCCATTGAGCTTTTATTCTGGTTATTGTATATTTTAGTTCCAAAATTTTCATTTGGCTCTTTTTTAGATCTTCTATTTGTTAGTTAGGGTTTTCTAAAGTTTAATTTGTTCAGGTAGGTTCATAGTTACTCATTTAAATGGGTTTATATCGGCTGGTTTTGAATTTTTGTCAGATAATTCCAACGTGTCATCTCGGTGTTGGTGTTGGTATTTGTTTTGGTATTTCACGTTGATATTTGTATTTGGTACTTGGGCATAATCGTTGTGTATTGATGTCTTTTGTCATTCAAGTCGAAATCTTCTTGTTCTTGGTATGACTGCTGATTTTCAGTTGAAACCTGGACATCTGGGGTACTATGAGATTCGAGATCTTTTTTAAATTTTACGTTGTTAGAAGGATTCTTCTCACATTGCTCCCAAGGGAGACATCACTTCCTTACGGGGGGTGGGAGTCAAAACAGGAGGAGGGAGGAAGCTTTTTTTGTGCTCCTGGGTGGGAACAGGAGTTCAGTCTCCCCCACTGGGTCTCTGCTGTTATTATCCTGGTTGAAGGGACAGGGGTGGCACTTGGTTACTGTTCCCGGTCACCTCCCAATGAGCTGGGTGAGCTCATTACTGCTGAGCAGTGGCAGAAGTCCTGACTTTCCACCTGGTTTTCTCTGACACCCCCCAGTGAGGAGGGGAAGGGGTACCTCATTATCGCCTGGAAGTGCAAGTCCGTACCTCAGAGATGAAAAGTCCCAACTCCCTACCTTTTGTGACACCACTCTGTCGGGGGGGACGTGCCTTGTCACAGCCTGTTGAGGTGGAAATCTAGATTCTCCACTTGGCTTTTGCTAGAACGAGTGGAGTAGGACTACAGTGCTCTCTGTGCTGTTTGGCTGGAGGAGAGCAGTGGTCGCCTAAAGGTTTTCTGGTCCTTTGGCTTTCCCGGTCCTTTGGTTTTCCCGGTCCTTTGGCTAGAGAGAGCAGGCTTTTCCTGGGGCTTCTTTTTGTCTGCAACCATTGGCATATCTGAGTTGCTGGCTTCCTTTGGTCTTCGTCTGGGATCTACGGGGCCCAAAGAACACCCAGGGAAACATCAGCTTGTCATTCCTGGGGTCCTGAGGTCCTCAGCCAAGGTCTACCTTTCAGAGTCTCCTGAATTTTTTAATTTTTTACGTTGTATTTTATTTTTGAGAGAGAGAGACAAAGTGCAAGTGGGGGAGGGCAGAGAGACAGACAGACAGACAGACACAGAATCGGAGGCCGGCTCCAGGCTCCAAGCTGTCAGCACAGAGCCCGACGCTGGGCTCGAACTCATGAACCGTGACACCCTTCCTTACGTTTCTTTTCTATGTAATGTCCAGAGGTTTTAGCTGGATTTAGCGGGAGAGATAACAGAGAGTACGTCTGTTCCATGTTTCCAGAAACCTTCTCCCATTGGATTTTAAAACTGACATTGGCAGCCATCCTGGAACCCCCTTGTAAGTTGCTTCATGGTGCTGGAGCATGTGTGCATGATCAGTGCCTTGGAACGGGGATTCCAAGAGTCTAGGTTATAATGGGACACCGTGAACGAGCCCCAAGAGCTCCATTTACATCCTATCACACGCTTCAAGTGAGTTTAATAAATTGTCTGGTGGGGGGGGGGTCTGAAAAATTAGACCACATTTACTAGTAATTTAGGCTGGGTTAGTTATTGGAAGTTATCGCAGTTGTACAGCTGGTGAACAAAGGTGATGAGTCAGAAGCAAAATCAAATTTCAACTCCATTTATCTAACAAACTTGAATATAAAATGCCCCCAGGGGCGCCTGGGTGGCTCAGTCGGTTAAGTGTCCGACTTTGGCTCAGGTCATGATCTCGCGGTCCGTGAGTTCGAGCCCCGCGTCGGGCTCTGTGCTGACAGCTCGGAGCCTGGAGCCTGCTTCACATTCTGTGTCTCTGTCCCTCTGCCCCTCCCCTGCTCACACTCTGTCTCTCTTTCTCTCTCAAATAAATGTTAAAAAATGCCCCCGAATTAACGGGCTCTCAGGTGACTGGGAAGAGGAGTGGGCTCAGGAAGTCACCACGAAATCACCATATCTTTTTTAGGGGTTTGAGTCAACTGGCTCACACTCTCTTTGTAATCTTTGTGGCCTGACTAAGTCTCGGTTTCTTACAATCTCCAGGAGAAAGCAAACAAACAAGGAAAACCGAAACCTCATCCAGACTCCCTCTGTACGAGATCCAGCGGCTTCCTGAATAATTCTACAGGTGGAGAATTACGGACGTCACCTCTCAATCTCAACTGTTGCCAGCTTTGTCTTACTGCCTTCTGACCGTCCGCTCCCTGCTCCTGCTGACTATTGTGTTTCCTTGGCATGGCTTTGCCCAGACGCTGACGTATCTGCTTTTTCCCCTCTAGTTTCCGAAGACACTGCTAATGCAGTGCTCCGTGGGTGATGGGATCCACTGAAGGTTTGAGAGCAACAAAGGGGAATGACTGCACAAGACAAAAAGACAAAAAACACACAGTTGAAAACTGACCATCCCTGCCTTGGGCGTATCTTAACCGCTGGCACTCTAACTTCTGACTTGAGCTCACTGGGGAAACATTTTAAATCTCTTAATGTTAAGCGATCCAAGCCGAGTAATTTCTCTTGTTGTCTTGACAAGAGCCAGGGAGCTTATTCATGACCAGTGAGCCATCAGAGCATTTCCTTAAAGAAGTGTTTTCTCCCTGAGACAATACGGCCTTCTCCAATGCAAAATTGTTGGAAGTGGGCTTTTTAACAGCATGTATTCCAATAGTTTTAGATGATCATGATTTTAACCCAAAGGCAAGTCACATGGCCTGGCAAGTCCCCGCCCCTTCCCCCCCCCCCCCCCACCATGCATGAATATATCCACATGAAAAACCTTTCAAAGTTTTAAAACCAGGTCTGATCATACTGCATGCATAACAGAGCCTCAGCTCTCCTGTCTATAAAACTAAACGCTGCCATGTACCTTCAGGGCTATTGTGTTGTTAAGTGTCTCGTGAAACACGTGAATAACCTAGAAATGTAACCTGGTCTCCGGCACACCAAGCACACTTTCCATGTGAGCTGGCTCTTTGATGAGCAGAGTAAAATTAAAAGAAATATTTGGATGGGAGTTACCAAACCTCGCCAAATACATGAGTCTGACTCCATCTGCGATGTATTTACTTTCTACAACAGAAAGAATTTCCATAGCGTATATGAAGATCAAAAGTAATTCAGAGGATAAAAGGAATCTTAAGAATGCCTCGTCCCCAAATCTTTCTCCTCCATACATCACTCCATCATTACCTCAGTCCAATATCTTGAGATTAAAGACGAGGAAAAGTAATCGTCTATTAACTTTGATTTCCAATTTTTTGAGGTTTAAATTTCACTGTTATTTTCCTAATGGGCTTTTATGAACGTAAAAATATTTATAAGAGTTTTTAGGTTCACGTACAACCTCCCTATCCCAATCTTTTCCCAGCCATTCGTCCTTCTAGAACTGTGGGGTTTTAAAACATGTGGCCATTTTGACTGAGGAAACGATATCCAGCAGCTTTCCCCTGGGTGAAACCAGAATTTCTTGTCACGTGCTAAATTGAGTCCCCCGACCAATCCCCACACCTGGTCCTCTGGGCTTTCTATATCAATAAGCCCTTTTCACAGCCCACCTTGAAAACAGCCATTTCCTGTGGGTCAGAGGCGTTTCAAAGCCAGTGTTGGGACTCTCCTCCTCTCTGGTTTAGGTGTAAGTGACAATTCTGAAAGGTAAGAGATGGCATTCAGATCCTCAAGTTGTTAATAGCACTTCTCTCTTAGCTTGGGTTCCCCCAGAAGCAGAGCCTGAGACAGGACTCGTTCCTTTGGGAGGAGATCCCAGGAAGCAGGGGTAAAGGGAAACCAAGTGAGCAAGCCCAGGAAGGAGGAAAAGTCACTCTATGTGTATTACCAAGGTTGCTGGGCAACAGGGTCTCAATTCTAGAACCTCCGGCAAGTGTACAGAATTCCTTCCAGAACGTTCTGTCCAAAGGATGAGCTTTTTGTCTACTGGCTCTCATTCTCCCCTTGATGGTGGCTCCTGGGCGTGACCTTCCCACACTTCCAGGGTGTGCTTGTGGGAGAGCTGGGTGGGCTCCCAGCTTCAGAGATGAACTTACTGAACTTACCATCAGAGCCACAGCTGAAATCATAGGGGGGCTGAGGGGATGTGTCACAGGTACCAAAACCATTGTGTAGGGGCGCCTGGGTGGCGCAGTCGGTTAAGCGTCCGACTTCAGCCGGGTCACGATCTCGCGGTCCGTGGGTTCGAGCCCCGCGTCAGGCTCTGGGCTGATGGCTCGGAGCCTGGAGCCTGTTTCCGATTCTGTGTCTCCCTCTCTCTCTGCCCCTCCCCCGTTCATGCTCTGTCTCTCTCTGTCCCAAAAATAAATAAACGTTGAAAAAAAAAAAACCGTTGTGTAAAAACATATTGTCCCTTCTGTACCTACTGTTCCCCACTGTGCCCATGGGGGTGCTCCCCCACCAGGGGATCCAGAGGATCCCAACGACACTGAGGCGGAAGGCACTGCTATCAGCTTCCCCCGAGGGGTGTGGGGACCCTAAGGACGGCCCTCCTCTGTCTTTCCTCCAACCTATACTTTTGTCCGCACTCCCTCCTGCAGGGAACCGAAGAGTGGCGCAACCTCAGTGGGCCCCAAGGCTAGATGAAGGCTGCTGCCTAAGGGAACATTTCACTTGACCGTGAAAGAGGGTGGCAAAGGATCGTCTGACCCTGCCCGGGATGTCTCCCCATGCGCGCCTCCCCTGCACTGCTCACACCTGGCCCCGTGCCCAGGACGATCTCCAGGCTGAGTCACGCCCTGTGCTGCCCCTTTCCAGTGAACTTGTCCCGTCTGCTCTCATGTGTCTACCGGTCCATCCCCCGTGTGCACCAGGAGCTTGTGGCCCAGCACACCGTGTCTCCATATCTCTCGTCCAGCCCCAGCGCAGCGCCTGGGACACACGGGTTCTCTGCAAATATTTGCGGAGGAAAAGGGAGGGAGGAGGCAAGTCGGTTGCCGGGAGAGAAAATGATTTGCTTATATCGCACTTGCCAAAGAGGAGTCATCTGACATGTGGGGAGTTCGCAGAACTGACCATTTAAGAGCACCACTCGGACGAAATCCGTGGCAAAACGCAGTACTTACTGAGGCATCTGCTTTTGCCTCTATTATTTTTGAAGCGAGAGATGCTCCAAGACCAGTGTGACTGACACTAACCAGGTGACTTGGCTGTGGCTTCCTGTGAGTCAGGCCTGCCAGACAGCCGAGGCCAGAGGTGAACAGGAAAGAGGCTGAGAAAAGCCAGAGAAACGGAGTCAACACAGACGTGGAGGAGGCTTCTGGAGGCTTCTGCAGCCCTCTCAGGCCAAAGGGCGCACAGAGCCGCAGACCCCCAGACACTCACGCTCAAGTGCATGCAGCTGACATCGCTTCAGCTTGAAACTCTCCTCGGGTAGCAGTCAAGATCCGGTCATAAAGGCCCTGGGGTTAGGACCACTTCGAGGGGCTTTTTCTTATTTATTTGTTGGGTTGAAAAAAAAAAAAAACAAAACCCAAACCCGAGATGTGAGTACTGCTACTCTCCTAAACTGTGAATGTTCCCTCCCTCCTCTCTTCCCAGCACCCTCTCTCCCTACTCTGACATCCTGACAATCCTAAGATTTGCTCAGTACGCAGAAGAGGCACCGGTTAACATCACTCTGTGAATCGAGAGCATAAACAAAAAGTTGCCCGCTTCTCCTTGAAAAGCACAAGACCCCACAGACGCGAGGCATCTTTGAACAGAAGCAGCCACAACCCCGCACCCCTCACAGTCCCTAGCAGCGCCCTGGGCTTGTCCGGTCTAGCCCCTGGGGTGTTTACCATCCAAAGCGGGCAAAGCAGAAACGTAAGAGCCTCTACACACATTGCTAAGCGTTGCGCACAGGACAGCACGCGTTAATTACACTTTACAGGGTGCAAAGCACCTTCCCCGCGTATTGCTCAAGGGTTGTTGAACACACAGGGCTGTACCTGGGCAAAGGCAATCCACGGGGGAGATGAGGGCTCTTCTAGAGCTGGGAGGAGACAAGGAGAGGAGGTCAAGGATCTAGAAGGGACAGGTGGGGGCGGGGCAGAACATGTCCTGCGTGTCCGTGTGCCCCACGGGGCGCTCTGCCCTCACACCCACCCGACTCCGCCCTTGTCTTTCCAGCCCTCAGTCCTCGTGGACAGTGTTCCGTGCCTAGGCACCTTTCTAAGACAAAAAGATGTCCCAGCTCAGGGCTCTGGTGCCGGCTGTGTTGGATCGCCCCTGCTCACCAAGACGTTTGTGGGACAGGGGCGGCTAGGGTTGCTCTAAGGCACCCCGCCCCGGGGGTAGGCAGCGTGAAGGCATGCTGGGGTCCGCAGGCAGCGGGCCGTACCAAGATTCGGGGCCAGTCAGCAGCACAACAAGGGGAGCCTCAGGATGGGGCTGGGACACCGAGCCTGCCCAGGGTTTTAAACCTTATGCAAATGCCAGCAACTCTGAAACGTGTTCTTTCCAGCCCAGACCCCACTTGCTAGCTCTGGAGCCATTCGTGGGTATCACACACTTGGACGTGTCCTTGAAATCTCAAGCTTGTTTGTGATGGAACTGGTAACCCGTCCCTCTCATGGGTTGCTCAAGCCAGGCTCTGGACATTGTCCCCGTGTCTCCTCCTCGCTCCATTTAAGCCCATCACCCTGTGTGCTTTCGTGCCCCCAGATCCATCCACCTCTTTTCGTCTCCGAGGCTGCCTCCTTTGCAATGGCTGCCTCCTTCTTATACAGTCAATGTCAGAGTAAGTGTCACCTGAGACCTCCCAGAGCCCTTTCCGGACTCTCCATGAAAAGAAAGCCCTTCCCGTTATTCTCTGTCAGCATCCAGTTGCTTTCTTTCCTAGCAAGTATCATGACCTGCTCTTATGTACAGATGTGGTTTTACTTCTTTGATGCTTAGTCGTTCTGCTAAGCTTCGTGAGGACAGACATCCTGTCTATTCTGTTTTCTCCTGTGTCTTGAGAGCCCAGCCCTGTGTGTCTGGTGCATAAAAATGTGGTCATAAAGAGAGGCTGGATGAATGAATAAATACGTTTTAAAATGGAGCAGGCTAATATGGTCTCTCACGAGAGTTTCTAGTCTTCTCCTTCCCTTCTACCTCTGACTGTCCCCCATCCACCATGCGCTCTGAGCGTGCAATTTAATGCCACATCAGGATATGCATGAGTCGTCCAGCAAATCCCTCCCCTGGGCCATGAACCCTCTTCCGTCCTTTCCTCCTTTATTAATGTAGTAGATGAACCCATATGGAACAATCATAGTCTATGACATAATAATAATGACGTTTATGGAGCTTTTGCAGTTTGTTGGGCACGGTCCTTTATTTTCTCATTTAGTCCTCTGGACAAACCCAGGGTGCAGTTACTAGCATTTGCGTATTTTACAAAGAAGAAAATCAAGGCTGGATGAGTTAGTGACTTTCCCTGGCTCAGATGGTAGTCTGGACGGCTGTTGGATGCCATAACCATTAGGCAACACCGCCTCCCAAGGGTTCCCTGGTATTCAATGCATTTGAGATTCAACCCACCCGTTAAGTCCCCATGTATGAACCAAGCACTGTGCACAGTGTTTCTATCCACGTTCATATTTGGCTCCTACAAGAACCTAGCGAGGTAGGTCTTTATTATTCTCATTTTTGCAGAAGGACGGCCGAGATCCCAGGAGTTGAAGCACCTTTACGTGGTTCATTGTGGAAGAGGCAGGATTGGGTGTAGCGCCCTCCCTCCAAGGCCGCCGTTCCCTCCATTCCTGCAGTGCTTTGCTGCTCGGACCAAAGAGAAAGGAGCAGAGAGAACCAGGCCTTGGAGACGCCCACACGCTGATCAGGGGGGTGTGGCCGGAGGGACAAGCCACCCCCTGGGCAGCCCCTGTAGTTCTTCCACCAGCAGAGAGGCTCTGGAAAGTCACGGGACAGGAGAGAGGATGGGCTTTGGAGTGAGACTGATGTCCATTTAATTCGCAGCTCTGCCCTTCATAAGCTAGGTGGCCTTGTGCCATGCACTCCACTCTCTGAGCCTCTGGTACCACTAAGGGGGTTCTAGTATCATCCTCATGGAGCTTTTTGTGGGGATGAAATAAGACCACAGAAAGAAAGCCCTTAACACAGGGGTCAGCACATGGGAGGTCCCTGTTGGTGGGCTTGGTATTTCCAACTTCCTGCCCACTGGGTTCTCAGACCTCAGGGAGGAGGCACTAGAATTGGGCTATTCTGCTGTGGAAATGCCTCACAGCCTCGTGCCTCTCTCTCTCTTTTTTTTCCTTCTATTGTCTCTCCCTTCCTCTCCCACCCACAATTTGAAGCTGCCTGTTCTGTCTGCAGGAAATGTGTTAAACGAAACACTGTTTGTGTTCGCGCCTCCGTCCACGGGCTTTTCTGGCATGTTCCTCCGTCCTGGTCCTCGGGGAGCGTCTGAAATGTGATCAGGTAGACCCACTGACAGTCTGACAGGCATGACGCACACAATTACTAGAAGAGAAATGTTATTCACAGAAAGAACAGGAGAGTAATGTATTCAAATGGCCATGGATTTTAGAGACCGGGTCTGGGTCCACATCCCAGCAACGTTACTGACTTGTGAGCTTGGCGATGTGGCTCCTGTCTCCAGTGGTCAGTGTCCTTGTGCACAAAGTTTTCAGAATCTGATCAGAATAAGGAGAGGCAGGGTTTTGAAACATCTGGACAATGTCAGGCACTTTGTAGATGCTTGATAAATGAGAATCTGACATGATGCTTGGCATCTAAAACACCTGGTCACAGGACCAATCTAGCCAACTTACCTGTGTTTACAAATAAAGTTTTATTGAGACACAGCCACACCCATTC